GCGATAGAAAATTTGTAGTGGGTATCGTCGTAACGGGTGTGCCGGTTGGATAACAGCTAAAAAGGCTTTCGCGCTTCGAAAACGCCATCCTTCCGGTTGTGACGCGCGACAACGCGCTGTGCGCTTCGCCGTCGTCGTCGTCGAACTGTGTCACCGTGAAACCGTGTGCGGAATACACGGCGCGAAGTCGATAAACGTGACAAATGCGAGATACGGCCCCCGACGACCGCCGCCGAGAAGGAGGCGTCGAAGTTACGCCGCGAACACTTATGGGGCGCCGTTCGTTTTATGGGGCTCCTTATCGGCCCGCTGCCAGACCATAAACGCATTTTCGATGTATACAGCGCGCGACGCGTTTACGTGTAAGCTATGTTTTCTCTTTTTCTCCGGAGCGAGCACCTGCAACGACGGAGCTGGAACGAACCGTGTTGCACGCGCGTTTATCGAGCGCATCGCGGAAAACGTCTTTCCTTCGCTCCGACATAAAAAAGATCGCGCGAAGGATTTGTATCGCTTCTTATTAAAAATTGCATTGATGTACCCAGAGAGTCGAAATCCTTCAACAAGACAGTGCAATGATCTAGCTACAATAGAATCAATTGCGACATTATTTCTGACACTTGTAGATAAAGTCATATTCCGTAACAGAATTAACGTGAATGCATCACATAACGCGCTGAAGCAATGTTACAGATTCTGTGTGAGAGTTGCGCAATATCTCGAAAATAGTTATAATATCGCACACGATATGTGCACTCTTCGTGTTAATACATTTGATACTAGTAGTAACAAGAACGGACAAATCAATTACTGATCTTACCGATTCATTATAACATGACTTGACATAGATTTAATCGTTGTCTACGGGGAGAGGGACGGGGATCTCACATATTTTAGGCAGTTTCTTTTTGCTAGAAATATTGCAAATTTTTCGATAGCACATTTTAGTTCCTAAAGTATAAATAGCACACGTGAAGTGAAAGAATAATCAATTACTGCAGAATATCGACCTGCTTATCGGCATTACAAAATTCTATAGCAATTTTTACTATAAAATTTTCTCCGTGCGCAATAATCCGCGAAGAGCGATGAAGGGGGACACGTGGACAGCGCGGGAAGATCGGGCAATCGCGAAGAACGGGTTCTGAAGATTAGATATCCGTTCCGGAAGCTCTTGGCTTGGCCTTCTTCCGTCGTTTATATAGAACTCGATCTTCGAGTTTCACGGAGCTCATCAGCCGCCACCACCGCTCAGTCACCCTCGCCGTCGTATTCTCTCTCTCCCTCGAGATGTCGAGTCTCCCTTATCAGCAACCTGCAGGTTATCACTGGCGGTCGAAGGTTATGAATTAAAAGACGAGGAAAAAAGCGCGGGGATAACAACCGCCATCGTCCCGCCGTCATCCCGGCTTCGAGTGAGCGAAGCGCGATCGCGACGCGCAGAAAGGGAGAGAATGGCAGAGAGACAGAGAGGGAGAAAGCCGTCTGTCGTCTTGTATATCTACCCTCGTACGGTGGAAATTTCGCTACGGGGGTGATTTTCTGCGGGGGATGGCCAGCCCCGTCCCCGCTTTAAACCTGATTGGATGCAGAGTTATCTCGCGCTGCGTTACTTCCGGATGATTGGTCGCTGCGGTCGTCATGACTACCTCACCGCCGCCGCCGCCACCGCCGCCGCCACCGCCGCCGCCACCGCCACCGCCACCCACACGAGCCACCTCCGCGCAACTTCCTCCCCGTCCCGTTTTCCGCACCCCCGCATCGTTCTTCTCGCTCTGTCTCGCGACTTCGTGTCTCTCTCGCTTCGTGTCCGCCTGCACACTCGGATAACGGGTTTGTGCTGGTGTGTGTGTGCGCGCGTGTGAGTGCGTGCACAACACAAGCACACCGCACACCGCGAGCGAATCCGCGAGAACGCGGAATTGCGCGCGGAAGCCGCTTTTGATATCTTCTCTGGCCCGCTCTGCGTAGTGCGCGGGCCAAAGCTGCGATCGTAATCTACGATAGTTTACGGGAATTAATTTCTTTTTTTTTCACGGGTTACTCGTGGTCATTAATCCATGCCATCTCCTGACGACGACGCGAGAAACGTTAAACATCGTTTGTGCTTGTCCCTCTTTCTTGAGAGAATGAAAAGAAGAGAGACGGACGAACCGTTCTTCACACTGAAAAAAGGTTTGATAATAATCGTCAAGTCTAGATAATACTTAGCAGACGCTTTGGTGAAATAGTTTCGAACGTGTATGTAGATGAATATACTTAAATAATTTGCCAAGTGTATTAATAAACAACCTTAGTAATCCCTGGTATCTGTTGCTAAAACTTGGTTACCAATTTGTGTGTGGCACGTATCAGCAAACAATTTGTTAAACAAAGCCATATCTAATTTAATATTATTTAGCACATTGTATGATAAATATATGAAGTGACCAGATACACTGATAATAGTCAAACTGTTTAGTGATTATTACGGAATTATTTGCTATTATGTGCCAAACCAATTAATTAGTTTAATGAAGAATTTGTTTTACTAATTATTTTGTAATTATTGTCAGATGATCGCCGTTACTATATTTCGTACTAATTACCAAGTATTGCACTGAAACGCTCATGCATTTGTTAACTATTACAAGACTTTTCTTTTAGCGCGGCATTCTTCAGCGATGCGTGGGCGACGCGAAACCGCACCCAACGCGCGCGTGTACGCGGAAAGTAGCACGGTGCGGAAATCGCGCGCGGACCATTGAACAGCGGCGCGGCCTGTAATTTGGCGCGCGGATTAATGGCGCGTACACCTCTGCCAGATCGACGTTCTCGTTTCCTCGCAACACCGTTCGGATGCTAACAACACCGGGCGGTTCACGGCACGCAAACCGTTTGCGAATCGCCGCTGCTGAAACGGCGCTAACGGCCCGCCACGTCGAAAACAAAATCGACGATTACGACGGCGACGACGATGGGCGGCTACGATCCGATGGCCCGGACGGTGCGTGCGCGATTTCGGCGTGTACGGAATAACGAGACACTTTTGTTCGGACGATAAATTTCGCTCGCTCCACGAACAATTACGGAATATCTCGCCCTCGTTACTCGATGTACCCTGTAGGCGTGTGCTCTTGGATAATGTTAAGAAGGGTGTCTCGCGATTAGATAATTGAACACACACGAAACATTCTCCAACTAAAGATTGCGGTCAAGAGTGGTCCAACAAGTTTTGAAATCATTTTGGTTTTGAAGCGAAGTTTCTCAACGATATTGGTGATTGTATAATTTCGTGAACAATGGAAATGTGAAAATTTGCATTTTATAAAATGACTTTTCACGAGTCCACGCTAGGGGAAAAGATCGATACCCAGGTGCGAATTCATAGAGTTAAACGCGATAAACACGTGTCCGCCCTCGCTCACCGGTCTGCTAGAAATTGTGGCAAAAACAAACTCCGTGGGAGGGTTGCGGAACGACGACGACGACGACGGTGCGACGAAGCCGATAATCGTCGCGAATCGAGCGTGGATAATGATGAGGAGAGGACCCCGAACGATAAATCTCGGCGAAACGACGTGCCCGACAGACAATGGGCCGCGATGGGCGTGACCGGTCTGGGCCCGTTTCTCGTTTTCCATCGCTCGATGGAGACGTCAAGCTTTGTGCAATTCGTTGCGGGCCGCTGTCTGTTCCCGCGCATGCCGGACGTGTTTGTCGCGATTATGCGCGGCGCGTGTTAAGCGCGGCCGCGATCACTATTTCTTCATTGTTGCCGGCGGGAATTCTCGAGAGTGGAACCAATGCGACGAGCGCGATCGATGACTCGCCGTTCCGAGTCGAGCGATTCGCCTCTCGATCGAGTCATCGGCAGCCGGTGACAACGCCTCCGGTCTCTCGGGGGTGCGTGCCATCTTTTGGGGTGAGATCGCTTTCGTTTCCTATAAAAAGTCACCGAAGAGTTGTCTTCGGCATTTTCACGTGTATTCGTCTCGTTTATCTCTTGGATAAAAGAGGCTCGCCGCAATTATTGCAATTCTTGCAACATTTCCTATATGTTTTCTGTAAAGATCCTAACGATATCATCTATTTACACAGAATATGTATCTTTTTGGACCATTTTCTCTCAGTGTGAGGCGTATCACTTTGATACTTGTGTATCTTTAATCTACCCATCAATAGCTACAATCTTATCAAAAAATAACTTAAGATTTCGAATGCTACATCGAGCTAAAATATTTATGAAAGCTTGATCGCTCTCTTTAATAAACGAATTGAGGAGATATTTTAAAGATGAGATGATTAAGCTTAATTTTCCTCGTTCAATTTCGAGTACTTTTTTTTACTTAATTCGAATCGAATTCATGGAATTTGTTGATGAAAATGATACGCGAAATCTAGGACACTTTATATGTATATTCAAAGTCCTCTGGATTTTTGAGATCAAAAGACGAAAAGAATCGCTGGCTTTTCTATCCGCCATGTTCTCTCGCTCGACTTTACTTAGAAATGATATCCTTGCGCGTATCCCTTACACAGCGTTCGCTGCATAAGAGAATGTCACGGTGCTTGGTTTCATTAATGTCCGTTAAGTCACGAACTCGATCGTCGATCGGTTATAGTTAGCGATCAAGCGTGGCCTCGTGTCGCCATTGCGCTTATTTGCTTCGACACCCTTTTCGCTTGGCACGATTCTGTCATTGTCATGAAATGTAACTCGCGTAATATGCAACTTGTGCAGCGTGCTTACTTGAAGAGAGAAGCACAGAAAGCTCGTACGTTTAATTTCAACACTTGTTCATTTTCACGCCTGAATCTGAACACGTCTGAACGAAAACATGTACACGGATCAATTTCAACACAAATGCACAACACTTTTTTACCGTGTAGACGTTCAAAGATGCGACTCTTACTGATTATTGCGTCACCCCCTCGCGATCTCAAACCCTTTCTCTGTCTCCTTTCCAAGATATCTTCGTCAAGATAATTACATATGCGATTATCGATCCATTTAACAGATAGGAGCTAGCGAGCGACGTTTACGTGGACGAGGAGTTCGAGTCGCCGAGGGGGCGAGCCACCCAGAAGCGTAATATTACGCCGGGAACCCATAAAGCCTCCGCTGCTTACGACGAGACGGACGATGGATGGATCTCGTGCATGGATCGAGTCATAGGCATCCCGGGGCGCAAAAAAGTTCGCCGGAGAGTATTGGATGACCCGTCGACCGGTCATGCGCCAGACCGATCGAGATACTTTATACGAAGCTGCGCGATATTTTCCAAGCAGGCGACAGACGACGGACGATGGGAAATGGACCACCGTGAAGCGACCTCGGAACGTCCGTCCATCGTGGAGGTCCGTCATCGTCGAGGTATGTTTCATATGCAAAAGTGTATCCCGAAATTTAAAACACTATCAGATGCGACTAGGCATGAATGTAGAGCACTCTATTAACCGCGATCAGAGCATTTGCGGAACTACAAAGTGAGCGCATAAGTGAAGTGAATTGCGGTAGCGCAAAAGAATCAACCATTCCAGCGCGATTTTATCGGTAAAAAATATCGCACAGATTCACGCACGTATCACTACACGCACAGGAAAATGCATTCGAGGCAAAACAGTAGTTTTATGCGCAATTCCTACCATTTTATTGATACAAAATTTTCATCTGTTTATTTGTTAAATTAAACGAAAATACGTCCCTTTGGCGCAAGAGAAAAAGAGAGAGAAAGAGTTTTGTGGAGTCTGCAATCTCTGGGACGTTCCGTGTGCGACACACGCGAATCTCTTTCTCAGACGCGAGCAGACGTGCAAAACACCACCCTCTTTAGCGCGGTGCAACGTTACCCTCTCGCGATCGCGATGCATCGCATCGTACGGCGCACTTTGCTCGCGAGCTCGCGCGGATGAACGGAATCAAACGTAGTGTGATAAGCGAAAGGCCGATATGAATCCGGAAAGTCTCCTTCTCGCCCGTCGTAGAAACGAGTCGCTAATTATATCGCGCGAGGGCTCGAGTAGTTAGCACTGTCTCTAATTACATTTCCCATCTCCTTGCGTACGGTCGCGCGCGCTTTGAAATTAAATTGCTACATCGGCGGTGCGCGGCCTCCCCTTTTCTTCTTCTTTTTTCTCTCTCTTTCTCTCTCTCTCTCTCTCTCTCTCTCTCTCTCTTTTCTTCTCTTCCCCGTCGCGTAAGGGTGTGGGACGACACGTTGGTTCGTTTGAGGCGCTTCATTTCGAATTACGTTGCCGTGCGCGCATTTGCCACCACTCGACACTCTCGCCCGGTTATATTCCTTCCGCGAGTAGGAGGATAACGACGACGATGAGGACGAGGAGGACGATGACGTATTTACACCCTTACGTTATAGACTTGAGTCGGGGGAGAAAGAGAGAGAGAGAGAGAGAGAGAGAGAGAGAGAGACAGAGAGAAAACGGGACTTTGACGCGTCGCATCTGCGGTTACCCAAGAACACCCCGCGGTGAGTGTATCGTGGAAATAGGCGGAGAACTTCACGTAGGTACTCTTAATCCCTTCGCACGCTGCGAAGGGTGCAGAGACACGTTTGGTAACGCGATTTCGAGTGGAGCCCGGATTTTAAATCCGGAACTTACCCATTCAAAGACACCCCCTCAAGCCCCCGTTGGTCCGTCTCCCCCTCCCGTTCCGCACTGCGTTTACGGAGTGAGTTCTCGAGATGCGAGAGTCGTTTGAGGTGCGTTTGAACGCGAGGTTGCTTGATACCGCTCATCGTTACTTGATACTGTTCATCGTTATTTATCGCTCGAATTTCTAGACATTCGCGGTGATTTGTAACACGCGCTTTCCGCGAGGAGGAAAAAAGCATAAATTAATTCTGAAACGGAAAAGAAGGGGAAATCTTTTTTGCCATTGAACCATCGCTTCTTTCGCGAATCGTAACAGGGCTGTTCCACGTGTACCTACACGGCGATTACACCGTGTGTGTATATAACCGTACGCATATTTAATCCCCATTACATGATCCGCAAGCTCGAGGGTCATCTGTGCGCATGGAGTAGCACGAGAAAAAAACGGACTATCGTATCCGCAATAAGGGACGGATTAATACCCCTCGAGAAGGGGTACTCTCGATTTTAATCCTCCCTTATCCTACGCGTTCTGCTTCTCTCCCTGCCCTCTCCCTAACCTTTCCTCTCTCGCCATCCATCCAGCCGCGGACAATACGCGCGTCCTCTTTACTCTTTCGCGTCGCAACTTCGGTCTTTTGTCATTCCCGACGCGAATCCCACAACAGTGGCCGAAAGTCTTCATTGTGATTTCTCGCGCGACGCGTCCACCCTCTCTCGCGCGTGGGTTCTCTCTCTTCAAGATTTATGTGGGAAAACTCTCGAGGCCGGTTCTTGTATCTCGAGATCGGTTCTTTCGTGTCACGGCCTCTCCTCATGGTTCTGTTCGCGAGACAGGTGGCGGATACTTTGGCTTTTTGGCTACTCGCATCGTCTCCTCACAATAACCCGCATCCCTCCCCTTCTCCCTGTGCCATCGGGCGAGTGTCTCGTACGCAATGGGATGGATGATGGAACGCGATCGCGGTCGCCTTAAGAACTCAACGGGATCTTTACGTACATAAAACCGCGTTGCGCGCTCGTTGGCTACATTTTCAAATTATACAAGCAAGGTATCGTACAAGACAGGCACATATTAAGAAATTTGTTATATTCTAACGAAATTTACTGAGTTTCTTTTCTGATAGTCTATTTTTGCACTATCAAAAACAGTAAAACTGAATAAGTAAAATTGAAAGAAAAATTTATATAAAAAAACTATATTTTCTTCATGTATGATTCTCTCACAAAAAAAGTTTCCCTCGAGTAATTTTACGGGGTAATTCTCTTCGCTATTATCGAGAAAGTTGCGGTGAAACCTCACCGTGCGCGCTCCCTGAGCGCTTATCTGTGCGTTGCTGAAAAATCGTAAAGTTCGGGGACACGTCGGTGCCCCGCGCGTATTCCGGGGGCATCGAATAATGGGGTGTCCGTATACACGCGGTAGTATCGGTATAATGGTGTTTCTCTCTCTTTCTCCTTCTCCCTACCGGGACACAATGGGTCGACCAGGTCAAGTGTGCGCACACTAATCATGTTCCTGGTCAGAGCGGAGGTCCGAAAATGTACTGACGAAATGCGAACTATGCACGAATCACAATGCCCGGCTCGCACTCTCGGCCAGATGCCACGGAACATTCTGCGTGCTGCTGCCCTTCGGCCGGTATGCGAGGGCCCGGATGTTGGAACGCGCGTTTTCCCGGGCTACGTATCGATCATCCTCGTATGATGCCGATGCCGGGGACTATTAGTCCGTGTAGTTGGCCGCGCTTCATTTTGCACTGTGCTCTCTCTCTCTCTCTCTCTCTCTCTCTCTTTACGAAAGCTGATGGAAATTTCACCACATTGTATCCGGGGGTGGCACGGAGGTGGTTCCCGATAGAATCGAAAAGTTAATTTCCCGTTTTCTCGTTTCTGTTTATTTTTTTTGTTTTTTTTTTTTTTAATTACTCTGCTTTATTTTACTACACAGATACCTGGGAAATCGACGAAAAATTCAGATAATTATAGAAACGACGGGGATGAAGTTAGGGGCTGCGCCTTGAGAATCGAGTCCTGAAGATGGAAGGAAGAAATTCGCGCAACTGCAAACGCAGTTTTAAGAGAGAATCGCGAAACGTAAACTCCGGAGACAAACGAGCCGTAGTCGAGAACGTTATCGGAGGTAATTTTCGCGGGGCTCGCGCGGTAAACTGCTGAAATGATGGATCGTGTCGCGGGGGCGGGGTAGATGCGGCCGCGGTACGACGACGACGATACCGCCGGCCGATGCCGTCGGTCGCGGCTGGGAGGAGACCGGTAATGTGTGAAATTTTTGAAAGCCACACGGTAAGCGCGATCTCTCGCTCGACCGTCTCGTCGACACCGAGGGTGTGGGTTAGGTGTGCACGTTGCCTCGACAATTTATGGCGTTCTGCGTTTCTCTCCGTCACGCGCACGTACGCGTTCTCCTCCTCCTCCTCCTCCTCCTCCTCCTCCTCTTCCTCC